AAACTACCTCACATATTTTCTATTTTAATCCCTCAAACAATTTTTGTCATGTAGAACAATCACAACTTTTTGATTTACAGGTTAAAAAGCCTGAAGTTCAGAGCAGTGAAGTGATGGCCCAGGGACACTGAACCAGTAAGAGAGGGGCCTCTCCTCTCGTGGAGGTTGACTGATAACTTCCTGGGGTCTGTCTCCAGCTCAGATCTCTTTTCTCAAGCTCTAGGTCCCACATCCAGCCAACTGACTCAACATCTGCCCTTTGCAGTTAAACTCACAGTTTCCAGGCTGAACCCATAATATTCTCCCATAAGTCTGTTTCTCTTTCAATGGTTTTTGTGACATTATCCTTTCAGTTGTTTAAGCCAAAAAACCTAGGCATCATCCCTACCCCCTCCTTTTTCTCAACACACACATGTATGTACTCCATCACTGCATCCTATAGACTCTGCCTTCTGAATATTTCTCAAATCTGCCCACTTCTTGTCTCCACCAAGAACACTATAGTCCAAGACCCCACCATTTTGTATTGAAATCATTTCCATGAATACATTCTGCCTTCCCCTCACCACCTGACTCCATCTGTTCTCCACACTGCAGCCAGTCTGATTAGGTAATTCCTTTGCTTAAAATCTTTTGTTGGCTTCCCAGCACTCTTTAAGTAAAGATAAGAATCCTTAGTGTGGTCTATAAGGGCCAGTATGATCTGACCTCTGTTGAGTCTCTAGCCACATTCTGCCCTCACCATTTTGCTTTCATCACATGGACTTTCATTGTAACCAAGGCAGTGAGCACCCTGCCTCTTTAGAACCTTTGCACTAGACATTTCCTATGTCTGGGACGCTTGTGCCCAGCTGCTATCACCTGTTAAATTCTAATTCATTCTTCAGCTCAAGTGTCACTTCCTCAGGGAAGCCTTCCCTGATCACCAGTTTTATATTGGGGGCATTTTTCCTTCATCACTTATAATTGCGTGTTTGTTTACTTATTTTTGTCTGTTCCTTCCATTGCCTTGTAAACCCTGTGACAGCTTCTCTCCCTTGCATCCCCTGATGCCTAGCATAGGGTCTGGCACATGCTAGACACACAATAAATACGAGGGGCCTTCAAAAAGTTCATGGAAAGATTTGTATTATTTTATAATTCTATTCTCCACTAGCTTTTTTTTTTTTTTAAGTAAAGGATCAAGGTTTATTTATTTATTTTGTCCTTTTTGAGACCGGCTGCACCGCGCTCAGCCAGTGAGCACTGTGAGTGCACCGGTCATCCCTATATAGGATCCGAACCTGCGGCGGGAGCGCTGCTGAGCTCCCAGCGCCACTCTCCCGAGTGCACCACGGGCTCGGCCCTCCACTAGCTTTTTGAAGTACCTCATATGAGTTCAATGAATGACTTAAAGCCAGGAGTCACACTCAGATCAGCTGACCCCAACTTTTATGTACAGCACCCTACCCATCCCCTAACCTAGGGAGCCCAAGTGCCCAGCTCATTAAATGTAAAGGAATCAATTCATTTAGCTTGGGAACTAAAGCTTGGAAACAAAATTCTGAGCCACATGGCACATTTTAGCACTGTAAAAGGAGGTTTATGATTTAAAATTGTTAATAGTCAAATATATAGAAAGCAATGCTTTGGCTTTCTCCACTAGTGTAACACTAATATACAGAAAGGATTACGGTGGAATTTATTCAACTTTCACTTTTAAAAATAATGACAAATAATATTTCACTAAACTTGCTAATGTATGATACTCTGGATGGGAGTGAGGAAATTAGGTGTTCTAGTCATTAGTTTCAACATGGTAAGAATTATAACACAATAAAAAAATTAATTCTAAAACAATAGCGAACAAAATGTATTCTTTATTTAAAGATTTAGAAGATACTTTTCAAAGTCCTAATTAATAAGTTAATCACTTATTTACTAGTATAATCAAGACGTTGGAAGTGCTAGTTAATTGAAAATTCCTTTGGCAAAATGCTGGTTGATATTCTGCCGAATATAATTAGAAAAAGTTAGACAGATACTGGATATAATGAGCCGTGGGAAGAACAGTTCACTCCATACATTTTATTCTCTACCTTATTCTCTGGAGGTTTTCCTGGGCAGTGGGCTCTTGTCTACATTGCTGAAGTCATTAGCAGATTTGGTTACTGCCAACAAACATGTCTGCTCTGACAGTCTACTGAGGCAACTTGGGAAACTTATCTTGGCAATGTGGAAACCTCCATTTTCATAATCATTTCCCCAGATAAACATTTCATTTTCTTAATATAAAGACCCTATCATGTTATATATAACCTTAACATACCTAATTCTTTTTTCTCTGGAATTCTGTTTGATCATGGTCAGACTCACTAAGGTTCTACCTCCAAGCCCTTTAGCCATAAATTATCTTCCAGTTTCCTTTAAACTAGTATCAGCTAATATAATGACCTTCTCAAATAGTAAAAGAGAAAAAAAAAGAAAAGAAAAACTTTCTTTTTTCCTTCTTTCCTCTAATTCAATTAATCCATTTACTCAGGACCTGCTATGCACCAGGCACTGTTTTAATCGCTGGGGATACAGCAGTGAAAAAAAAAAAAATAGACAATGTCCCTGTCCTTAGAAAGCTTACATTCTTGTATGTCCTTTATAAATGGAAATGGAGAATGGTAGGAAATAGTCCAGCTGTTGAGATGCTGAGAGCGACAGTCACATATTGCAAAGGAGAAATATATATTTCTGAATCTAAAAACTTTCATCCTACTTTGTATGTTAGGGACACCAATTATTTTCAAACATAGGGATCTATTCCACATAAAACATCTGATGGAAATTTATTTTTAGATTACTGATCCAAATTGGGAAAGGCCAACTGTGAGAATTTTTAAAATATTTTTCAAATATGATTTAGAATAAAAATATTATTATTAACTAATGACTCCCAATATAATGTTATGATGCTCCATGCTCATGTCATCTGTTCAGGTGGTTTTTCTTGGGTCTTCTTGAGAAGTCCTTGAGAATAAGGCAATGACTTAGTCATCTTAGCATACCCAGTGCTTTGCAGAGTGCCTGGTATATAAAAGCAGGTGCTTAATAAGACTGTTTGTTGAAATGAAACATTATGTTCAGATTATTAACAAGGTTGGTTTGCAAACTGGCAAGGTAATTGGGCTCCTTTCACAGTTTCAGAATACCACAATGTCTTCTAAAAAAATAAATGTAAGCTTATGTTTTTTTTCAAATAATGCAGAGTACTTAATGACTTAAGTGTATTGATTAATTGTAGAATAAAGTTTGTACTTGTGGATTTTTTTTAAGTGTTCAGTAACATGTGACCATATATGGATCTATTGATGTTTCTGAATTTCTTTCTAAATATAACCAATTCATTTTTTGTAATAATATATGCATTAAAATACATGCACAAATATATCTAATAAAATATAAATATTTATGCAATTTATGTAAATAATTTATATAATTCATTTTATCGTGTGTAATTTCTATCTGTTTCAAGCCTTGGGACAGCTGGAGAAACAGAGGCATAGACACTTCTCCCATGTTATATGGATTACTTATCTCAGAGTTTAAAAATAGGGTCAGCTTCATGGGTGTGTGACTTGCGCTGTCCCACAGGACCTGCACTTAGAAGAAAAGAGCCTGTGCTTGGTTTAATACTCCACTGTCGCTGTCTTGAATTTGGCAATTTTTGAACAATGGGATCTGCATTTTTATTCTGCTTTGGGCCCCATAAATTGTGTAGCTGGTTCCTGCTAAAAAGAATCTCAGTGTATTAAAAGTTGAGCTCTCTCATGTCATCCAGGACCAAAGTGTTTATTGCGTTCACTTTCTGTATTTCATGAGCTCAACAAGATAAGAGTCCTGAGGGCCACTGGAATCAGAACTGTCAGTCACTGGGGACATCCATATACACTATGGCCAATCAGAGATTTCAGACCAACACAACATAAGCTTCTACTCAATAAATGAGATTTCCATATACAGTGAAACCTGGTTAACGACTTTAGTTAGTGAAGTGAAGCAATGTCAACAGATGGTTAATGTGGAACACATGCTTGGATTCAGCCACTACTTGAGATGTTCTGGCCTGCACTAGAATATGGGGGCGAGCTGGGCAAAGGCAGGTACTGCTAACTTTACTGAACGGTCTGTATAGCTATATTAGAAATATTTTTATGATTTATAAAAAAGTCCTTCAAAACTTTTCTACTAAGAAAAATGAAGAACTGAACCCCTTTGGGAAACTACCTGCATGCAAAAAATGTTTCCCCAACTGGTGCTTCTAGGGCTGCAATTTTCATTGCAAGGAAGCAATATGATGGTGGGGAAAGATTTTGTGATGCTACAGCTTAAAAGCACAACCTGTGCTACTTTTATATTGTAGAAGTTGAAAGGCCGCTGGTATCTGTAAGTTACCATTTTAAAAAAAGAACAATAATTATTATCATTATTATTATTTTGCATCAAAAGCAAACGATCTCAGAAGAGTTGATTTTTCTACCTACTTAACCCTGAGTAAATTTAAAAATTAATATCTAGGTAAAATTCAAATTTTAGTCTGATAGTTTTTCCCATGAGTTCAAAATTTATTTAGAATATGAAAATTTTAACTTTCCTGAGAAAGTTATGTTTCTGAGGTAAGAATAAAGTAATAACGTAGTCGCTAGAAATTCCTATTAGTTATAAATGGAAAGCATTCAGATATAATGGTATAATCTTCAAGAAGATAAATTTTGGTGTCAGACTTGGTTGAAGTCTCTGCTTTACTATTTACTAGGTCACCCTGGGTAATTTACTTGATCTTTTTAAGCCTCAGATGCTGGATTTGAAATAGAAATGATAACACTCAATGTGTAAGACTGATGTGAGGATCAAATCAGATAATGGATGTAAGTGTTCGGCACAGTGACTGGGACATGATAAACACTCTACACATGGAGCTGTTCTCATTGATAGGGTTTTTCCTCCAGGATTTTAATCTATTAAACAGTTACCTTATTGACAGGAATAATGTTTTTGACATTGTAGTAGAAGCCAAAATAAACCATGTTGAAAACCCCATGGCGTCCCAAAGTTGCTGTAAATCCTTTGTTGAGGCCCCGGAGACCCAAGCCTTCCGTCTTAATGATGTGTCTCGCATAAGCCATGGTGGATGGTTGCTGTAGGAGAGAGCACAAAGGTAAAGAGATCATCTATGGGACTTTGGAATACAGTAAATTGCCAACTTAGTTTTTCCTTCAAGCCAGAATTATTAGAGATTTTTTTCCCTCAAAACATGAATAATGCCTAGGTTTGTGCTTCCAAAAATTAGGAAACTCAAAAAGTAAACAAAATTGAATGCATAACCACAGGCTTTATAGGGAAGATGGTTGGCAAGGAAAAAACATCTTTCGTGGAATTGGTGAAACTAGTGTCATGTAATAACTATCACCACTTTCAACATGTAAATAATTGTATCCAATTTTTGATTATACACACTAATGGAGGGGATTAGCCATGTAAAAAAAATAGTAATCCATAATTGCATATAACCTAAAAGGAATTCATATTTGGCTCCTGAATCCAGCATCTTTACCTTTCTAATTATGTCTTTCTAAAACTAATGTTACAAATAGTCTTGATTCCATGGCCTCAATGGTTTAAACTGATGCTAGGTTAGAACTTGGCCATAGATAAATAGCCATATATGTCCTCAAAAAGGTGGGCAATCAGTGCATGTATCACTTGCTGTGATAAATTATATATCAATGGTGTTGGGAGTTCCAGGTTACCTTAAATTTACTCCTTTCCAGTCCTCTGATTGATTACCCAAGGCTGAAATACCTTGACTGCTGGAATACAGTTTGTTGTTACTTTTGGAACTTGCTTAAGAGTTCACTGTAGTTTGCTCTGAGGTTTACAATTCATTACAATACAACAATTCATGTGGGTTTTCAAAAAGAGTATGAGTGATTGTTTCCTTTTAGGAGGTACTGCATGAAGGATATCTCTCCCTCTCATATTTTGACTGAATAGTAAATAAGGGAAAATGTTCAGTGTTTAATTTATTTTATTTTATTTTATTTTTGCCATGAGGCAAGCACTGACATGACATATGTTTGATACTTCACTGGAGCAGGTTGCTGGAGTGGTCATGGCAGTCTGACGCACTTTCAGACTGCAAGTGTTTTGTTACCATGTGCAATTAAGGCTACGTCAGCAGAACAGAATAGAACAAATCCAATCAAGGCTTTTCATCCAACTTATACATAAAATAGCTATGTCATTAACATGATACATTTAAATGAGCTTGTTTATACAGTAAATCCTATAGTTTTGGCTGATAAGTGTTTTTAAAAACTAGCTACAATTCTACACTCAACTTTATACTTTCATTTAAGAGGATTAATTACAATGAATTACATTAAGCTTAAGAAAACTTCTCTGTAACACGAAAAATCATGTGAGAATGTATCTTGTAACAACGAAAGACATCATATAGGAAAATCAAAAAATGCTCAGGAGGTTAAAATTCACTCCGTTCTACAACATGGGACTTTTTAAAATGTGTCTTGACACATTGGTTATTAACCCAAGTTATTTATTTTGGTTTTCAAAAAAGACAAGGACATATTGAACAGAAGCTCTCTTCTGTTGGAAAGACCCTGGAAGTGCTGACTAAAATGCCTTGACAGTGCTCTCTTGCTCTGAGGAAGGCAGCACAGGGGAAGGAGAGAAGGTGGCTTTCCTGGGGATGGGTGGAATAGGGCAGAGTGTTCCCTGTATTCAACTCAAGCCTTCTCTCCATCCTCACTCATCTGAGACTCCTAGGGCAAGAGGGATAGGAGCTCAGAAGCCATCTAGGTTCTAGAGCAACAGAGAAACCAACAGCTTTGAATGAAAGTACAGATAGTAATGGTTTTCCCTAAAAAAGTGGGTCTAAAGATGTTTCTATTGTTTAGAAATTCTAATTTGCCAAATCATCAGAATTCGGATGATTAAGCAATGTGTTAATTTGGATAACATCTTTCTTATTATCTTGAAAAAAGAAACTTCTACTAGATCTTGGTGAGAGTTGGCAAATATGCAAATGGCATTTACTGATCTTCTATTCCCTGATTTTCAGTAGCTTGGGTTCTGGGTGGGTACAAGAAAGTATAATGCACGGATTTTATACTCAAGTGCTTTGTTTAGTTTGAACTCTAGTTGTCAATAATTAAGTAAATCAGAGTGTTGCACAGCAATCAGAAATAGGAGCTTGAAGCCAGACAGCTCCAGGTTTGAGCCTCCACAATATCACTTGCTAACATTGGCAAATATTTTATCCTCTCTGATTTACCTTCACTTTACTTATTTGTAAACAAGGATAGTAATAGAATCTTCCTCATCGGATTGTTGTGATGATGAATACGTCAATTAACTTAGTCCGTTGTAAGCATTCATTGTATATTTAGCTGTTAATGGCAATTATGCTGACAATAATAAAAATAGTTATAATAAAATAGCAGGTAGTTTTTTTTTGTTGTTGTTAATTGAAGGCAGTGGCAATCAGAAGGTGAAGGCTGATTTGAAGGAGAAGGACATGCTTAACTAGCTTCTTCCTTCCATACACTCTGGCTGTTCTTTCCTTTTCCCAGAGTCTTGGACCCTCTGATGAAGTCCACAAGAAATGCATCCAGAATGCAAGATAACAGGTCTGCTTCCTCTGAGGCCCAACCAAATCAACCCCCCATGCTAGAGATCTCAGTCCAGTGTTGGTGCCTTGCCCCAGGGGCTCTCCTCTCTGGATCAAGTGACCCTGTAAATTGGCCTTCTCCCTAACCCTCAAAGTGAGCATCCTTGGTAAAAACTCTTCACTTGGCTAGTCCATGGGCTGCAGAAGCAAGGCCACACAAGAGCAAAGATTGGGAACAGGAAAACGAATTGGGTCTCTCTCTACATGGCTTTACAGCCTAGAGGACACTTTCATGCATGTTATCAAAGATCTGGAACACAGTAAGTCCTCATCAACGTTAACCATTATCATAGATGCTCAGTACTTTACGTAGATTGTTATTTAAACCTCCAACAAGTGGTTGAGATAGGCGTTATCATTACCCCCATCTGATAGATGAAGAGACTAAGGCTTAGAAGTTGCATTACTTACCCGAGTTCACAGAGTAAGTGGTAGTGCCAGAGCTCAAACCGAAGCCCCTTGGACTCCAAGCCTGTGCTTTTATACTCTGCGTAGCTCTACTATCCTAACATATCTGATTGCTCCTCTCAATGACCCTGTAAGGTAAAGTCCCCCCATTTTCCAGGTGAGAAAACTAAGGATTGTTAAGTAATGTTCCTAAGGTAAAATGCTGCTGATAAACGGTTTAACCAGAATTCCACATCTAATCTGGTGTTGTTCTCTCCCTGCTCATTCTTGTTACACATACGTGGTAAGATTTTCAGAGGCTGATAATCCAGCCAATGTAGATAACAAATTCATAACAGTACAAATATATTTTTCTGGCAAATTGGGGCCTTGGGATAAAGAAAAATCAGAACTCTAATTCCCATAAAAATTAGAAGTAAAAATATGATAGTGTGTTTTTTGCTTCATTCAGGGACATTGTATCACACACGTGTAAACAAATATTGAATTAGAAAGGCAAAACATGACTTCCACTAGGATGCTTAAATAGGAAAATATAGAATCATTTTGACTAGATCTCTGTAAACACAGGGAATTTTACTAAACCTATTTGATTACTGGGCTTCCATTTCAAAACAAAATGGTGGCTGATTAGCATCATCAGCCAAATGATTCCAATACTATCCAACCCAGCAGGTCACCCATCAGTTCAGTTTCCTTCTAACATTTAGATTCACTCCAATTTTCATATTTAGTTTCCAGTTGTGGGCCAAAGTGCACTCTAGATTTCCTAGAGGTAGCTTTCATTAACTGCACCAGAACTGTGACCATGCTAGAATAAGTGGATCAGGACATAGCTAATATTGTGATCCCACATTGCTTTGAACACTGGTTTATAGAAATCCTCAGTTCACTAGTACCTGACAGAAGTGTTTCCATTCCAAGTAACTCAAAATCTTCTTTAACTTGGATTTCAGCTATTGTCAACTGCTAATGCTAGGAACTTTGTGTTCTTTCGTGCATTCATTTATTCAACAAATATCTATTGAGTGCTTAAAGGTGCCATGCACTGTGCTAAATATCTATCACAGTACTTTTCTCATATTGTAGAAACTTAAATTTTTTGCTTTTATTTTTATTTGGAGAGATATGCTGATAATTTTTATATCTTCCCATGAGAGTATTCCATAAGGGTTATAGAATACAGATTCAAATTTCTGTTTAAACAGTCCTTAAGAAGTTTAATTTAAAGGAGAGGATCCTAAGTGAAATAAGCCAAACACAGAAAAAAAGAGCCAAATACACACACACACACACACACACACACACACACACACACACAGAATAAAACAGTGGTTACCGGGTGTGAAGATGGTGTCGGAAGAGGGGAGGAAATGGGGACTAGGTCAAAGGATGCAAAGTAGCATATAGGCAGAACGAAATCTAGAGATCTAACGTCCAACATGAGGACTGTAGTTAATAAAATTGTATTGTATTAAGGATTTTTGTTAAATAAGTATATTTCAGCTGCTCTTGTCACAAAAAAAGTAACTATGTGAGATGATGGATATGCTAATCCATTTCACAATAGTAACCATTTTGCTATCTGTACGTATCCTATAGCATCACGTTATAAACCTCAAATATACACAATAAAATTCATTTTAAAAAATAAATTTAAAAAAATGCAAAGAGTGAGAGAGAGGATTCTTTGCCTAAACAATGCTCCCAGGCACCACTCTGGGGCACTGAATCCTGACTTTCTGAGAGCCCAGTACTACTGACAAAATCACTGAGATGACTTATGGCAGCCTGAGCTATTTTTTTCTGGAGTTCTTCCATTCAGCTACTGACCATAGCGGCCTCTGACCAGCTTGTGAAATCACAGACAGAGGTTTTAGGCAGCAGGCATTGTTCCCTGGACAAACAGCTATCAGAGTACAACCAATAGGTACAGGTGTAGGGTGTGCCAGTGGATTTCCTCCATCTCTAAGGCCAAAGGAGAGCTGTAGGTACACCGTGTCAAAAGACAGCATGCTCCACATACATCCCTTTACT